CCTATTGCTTCTAGACTACAGACGTGTACAGCATGTTAGTGTACTGAATAGGCAATTGTAACACAGTGATATTTGTATATTTAAACACAGAAAAGGCACAGTAAAAAATACAGTATCTATGGGACCACTGTTGTATATGCAGTTTGTTCTTGACTGACATGTCATTATGCTGCACATGACTATATAAGGAACTCAGACAATGTGATAATAAGAAAACAACCCAATTTAAAAAATGGGCAAAGGATCTGAATAGACGTTTCTCAAAAGAAGACATACACATGTCTAGCAGGTATTTGAAAAGGTGCTCAACATCACTAATCATCAGGGCAATGCAAATCAAAACCACAATAATCTATCATCTCATACCTGTTAGAATAGCTATTATCAAAAAGGCAAAAGGTAACTAACAAGTATTGGTAAGGATATGGAGAAAAGGGAACTGTTATACAGTGTTGATGGGAATGTAAATTGGTGCAGTCATGGAAAACAGCACAGAGATTCCCCCAAAAATAATAATAGAAAAATTACATGATCCTGCAATCCCATTTCTAAGTATATATCCAGAGAAATTGAAATTGACTCCTATGTTCATTTTAGCATTATTCACAGTGGCCAAGATATGGAACCAACCCAAATGTTCATTAGCAGATGAATGGATAAAGAAAATGTGGTTTATATACACGATGGAATACTATCCAGCCTTACATTTATAACAGCATGGGTGAATTTGGAGCTCATTATTCTCAGTGAAATAAGCAAGATACAAAAAGACAAATACTACTGCACAATTTCACTTATCTTTGCAATCTTAACAGGTTGAACTCATAGAAGCAAAAAAGTAGAAGTATCATTGCCGAGGGGCAGGGGAAATGGGGAAATGTTGGGTCAGTGGGTACAAAGTTTCGGTTTTATAGAACAGGGGTCTCCAAACCCTGGCTGCTGACCAGTAACGGTCCGTGGCCTGTTAGGAACTGGGTTACACAGCAGGAGGTGAGTGGCAGGCAAGTGAGCATTACCACGTGAGCTCCACCCCCTGTCACATCAGCAGCAGCATTAGATTCTCATAGGTGCATGAACCCTATCATGAGCTCTGCATGTCAAGGATCTAGGTTGTGTGCTCCTTATGAGAATCTAATGCCTGATGATCTGAGGTGAACAGTTTCATCCCTGAACCATTCCCCATCCGTGTTCGTGGAAAAATTGTCTTCCACAAAACTGGTCCCTGGTGCCAAAAAGATTAGGGATCACTAATGGAGAGAGAATAAGTTCTGGAGATCTGTTGTACAGCGTGATGACTATAGTTGACTGTAGTTAATAAGACTATATTATATGCTTGAACAACTCTTGTAAGAGAGAAGATTTTTTTTTTTTTTTTTTTTTTTTTTAAATGGAGTCTCGCTCTATCACCCAGGCTGTAATGCAGTGATGCAATCTTGGCTCACTGCAATCTCCACCTCCCAGGCTCAAGCGATTCTCCTGCCTCAGCCTCCCAAGTAGCTGGGATTACAGACACCCCCCACCACACCCAGCTAATTTTTGTATTTTTAGTAGAGACGGTGTTTTGCCTTGCTGGCCAGGCTGATCTTAAACTGCTGACCTCAAGTGATCCCACCTGCCTTGTAATCCCAAAGTACTGGGATTGCAAGCTTGAGCCAAGATGTCTGGCCTAAGAGAGTGAATCTTAAATGTTCTTACCATATACTAACACATACATAAGAAATAACTAACTTGTAGATGATGAATATGTTAATTAGCTTCATAGCTTGATAATTTCATAATATATAGGTGTATTAAAACATGTGTACCTCAAGTATATACAATTTAAATTTGTCAGTTATACCCCAGTACTGCTGGTGGGAAATTGGTTATAAAATTTGTATGGAAATTTAAAGGTTCAGGAATAATTGAAGAAGTCAGTGGGAGTTGGGGACATAAGCACTTGCCCTGACAGATGTCAAGGTATACTATATTATTTGGACAGTGTATAATTCCTGCAGGTTTAGACATATCTACCAATGAAACAGATGAAGAACCCAGAAATACCTCCTTGTTTTTATAGAACTCTGATATCTGTATGACAGTGATGGCATTGTAAGTTGGCGAAGAAGTGAGGGACTGTTTATTAATTGGAGCTGCAAATTGTTCAACAGTTTGGGGGAAAAATGAAATCAAGCCCCTACACCATTTACAAAAATCCTTGTGAGATGACTACTTAAGGACTTAAATGTGAAATGAAAAGAAGGAAAAATATATGTGAATATCTCTTGTTTAGCATAAATAGATTTCTGGCTTGGGATAAGTAAGGATTTTTTAGATAAGATACATAAAGCTCAAACAGTGAAAGAAAAGATAATAAATTTTGTCATGTTAAAGTAAAAATTTCTGTTCATCAAAAGGTATTTTAAAATTGAAAAGAGGATGCAGGAAGCGGGGAGATATGTGCAACAGTTGTCCAACTAGAATATGTCCAACACAAGAATTTGCATCCAGAATATATAAAGACCTCTAACAAAGCAAAAAGAAAAAAAAAGAAAAATTAGCAGTATGAAGATATTTCGTAGAGGAGAAGATACACCTGGAAGCAGTGAAAATGAGTGAACTACAGCTTCTTACAAATTCATGAATGAAGCCTTAATATCACAATGTTAGATGAACAAAGTAATTGCCAAAGACTAAAAATGAAATAAAAGTTAAAATGGAATAAAGTTTGCCAAAATGAAATAAAATTTGAGGGGAGAACATTCAGACTAGTGGTTACTTATTGTCTCTTAAAGGCAGTCAAGGCAATTGGATGGAAGATGATTTATGTGTATTCGTTATAAAGTTTAAACCAGTTTAACAAAGTCTCACCACGCTCTAAGAGTATCACAAACAAAAGATATAATTAATCTGCACTCCAGGTCCAAGATAACATATTCATTTATGCAGATGCACACATTCGTACATGTTGTGTGAAATTACAAATCAAGGTGATGAGGAATAATCTGAGAGTTTGCTTCCTGGGGTGAATGACATGAGCAGGCATTCATCCAGGTTTTCTCCAAAACAGATTGTGGTGGTAAGGTGGTATCAGATATCTGGCCAGGAACATCTAGAATTCTGTGGCTCTCTTCTTTCATTAATACCAATAAAAGTGTGAAGAGCCTTGCCCCCAGTTGTCATGTTCTGGGAGCCAAGTACATATGGAGTTAGAACACTGTGAAGTATTTTGTTCCTCCCCTCCATTTCCATTTTTTTTGGTGGGGAAAATAAAGTGACTTCATAAAGATAACATTATAAATATCAAAAGAAGATTTGAAAAGGAAGAAATAAAAGACTTCACAGTTAATAGAGTTTCTGAACTATCAGGAAATACATATATTAATGTCTGATTAGTTCTTTACATACACATTCTTCCTTTAGTCTTCTGGAAGCAAATCTCTCCTACCACAACCCGGATTGAATTCTGTTTATCTGATTATTGATTTTTTTATGAAAATTACAAAATCATGTTATTTTTTTATGTATTAGACCATATAGTTTGTTAGAACAGTTTTGTGTTTCAGCTGTGACAAGATTAGTTACGAGGTCCAAATAAATCGTTTCTCCTGATATTGTACCAAAGTTTTTGAATGATTGACTTAGGGGAAGGAAAAAGAGCAAGTTTATCATTATCCTTATGTCACATAACTATATTTTGCATATCCCAAATACTTTCTTAAGTGGGAAACGGATGGTTAGATTTATAGGCAGCAAGCAAGCATTTTCACCTAATCTTGAGACTGCTAATCAGGTATCTTGAAAGAGGTACCCCTATTTTCAACCATGGAATATCCATCTAAAACATTAAAACAAAGGACCACTTAACATTGTATTTTAAGAGGGAGCAATACTGTTGAGACATTTTTCTAACAGAGATTATCTGAAGATAATCTGCATCTTTGAGCCTCTGAACAATAGGTCCCAACTGTACTACATATGATACTAGAAAGAGTAGTGGATTAGGTGTCAGAATACTCCTATCTCCAGAACCAGACAATGAGACCCTGAAAAACAAGGACATACAGCTTTGTGAGTGAGTGGGTAACAGAGAGTATTAAATGCTGCAACTTGGTAACCTTGTGATCTCTGAATTAATACTCACACTTTTCTGTTAATCTCATAGGAAAATTAGAGACTTATACAGGTGGAAGTGTTTTGCATGCTGTAAAACGACACCAATATTTTAATGTGAAATAAAGTGAAATCTTAATGTAGTAATGAAATAGAAACTTCGTATGTTTACAAAAAAAAATATTTTTTCCAGTCTTTCAAATGATTTAAAAAACTATTTCCTGAACCTTTTAGTGAACACCATTGTGGGTCACTGGCTTTGCGCACTGTTTTTTTTTTTTTTTTTTTTGAACTCCCCTTGATTATTTCCATTGATCTCAAAGGGCACTTACTACAAATCTGCCTCTCAAGCATCTTACAACAGTATCTTTTAGTTATGCTATATATGATGTAGCACTGATCAAAGAGAAGAAAATGTCAGAAGTCCAAAAATGTAAGGAATTACAGGATTTTACAGTTACTAGGACGAGCCATGACTAGATTTATCAAGAAAATTGTGTTAATTAAATTGTAAAATTTGGTGTTTATTTCTTAATGATTATGCAAGAATGATCTTTATCTTTGAGGTGGCAAGGGACAGTTCATTAAAATACTTGGACATTTGAGCTAAATATGAATGCATAATTTTCTAAAATTAGGAAGGTGATTAATAAAAATTGATTAATTTAAAATAGTTAACATGAAAATGTTATTTATTTTATGTACATGCAAAGGATATCTTATAAATAATGAATTTGGATTATTAATAGGTGAAACTGATTTTGTTTATATACTATGAAGATATAATTAAAGAAGATAAAACTTTGAAATTAAAATCTGTATTCACAGTAAATACAACTTCAGTTCAGGTCTTTGCTACAACAAAATGAGATTTGTAAATAACTTAGGTTTTTCTGTTTGTTTTTTAGTTATTAAGTCGAAAAGACAAAACTACCTTTGAAAAATTAGAATATGTAATGAGTAAAGAAGATAACTACAAAAGACTCAGAGAATATATAAGTAGCTTAAAGATGACACCTTGCATTCCCTATTTAGGTGAGTTATGTCACTGTGTATTTTTTGTTTCTAGTTGTTACTCTTCCTTAATCAGTAATTTATGTGAAATTCAAGGTATTTTTAATATGTTTGTATCCTTCAAATAAATTACTTCAAGATTGGTAAGCTGAAAAAATTTGACTAAAGGTAGTTGTTACCTTATTACCTGGAATGTATTTTCATATTAAATTAGCCTTTTGCCCTCAAGGTTTTTTATAGACTATTATGTTTTCTTAGAGTAGGACCATATAGTAAAATTATGTTTTTTTAGCTGTTTTAATAATGCTTTTAAAGAATATAATAGTTTGTAATTATGTTTAATACATTAAGGAAATGGATCAAAGTCCTTATATAATGAAGAGATATTTTAGTGTGAATTCCGAAGTAGTCTCATTGCATATTGGTATTGTTATTTACCTGGGTGAAATGAGTTGATTTGCTGTGACAGTTTAGCTTCGTGCTGAGACAGTTCTGTATTTTGCATATCATTTAACTAAGAATTTATCTCTTTATTATATATCTTATAGTGCTTATAAATTCAAGAAGTATTTAAATAATAACATTATAAGATTATTTTTGACAAAATATGAATAATGCTTTGTTAGGTGTTTGAATGAAAAGAAGATCCAAATTGTTCTTTTGAATACATAAGGAAAACATGAGATACATACCTACCATACATTAAAATGAATTGATTTGATCCTATGGAGAGAGTAAGCAAATGATGAACATTGGGTGCTTTCTGGTCCTTCCCCATCCCCCAGATTTGTGTTTTGTGAAACTACTCACACTGAATTTCAAGATAGCTTTTTCTGAGAGTTTTTCTGAGAGTGATTACAGTGTCACCTTGAAGTCTTTAGTCCCAGTGACTAGAAGACAAGGGACAAAGGCAGTTGATACATGCCAACTTAGCTACTATAGAACATTAACCTTAGTTGCCCAGAGAAGAGTTTAACTCATTTGATTATTGTGGGACATTCTAGGATTGCAGAGAATGGGGACCTATTGTGTACCTTGTGTTGAAGGCAGAATACCACTAAGCACAGTAGAGTTAATGGCCACTGCATCCCAGAATATTTTGTCCTGTTTCTTTGATAAACAACTTAGGACCATAGTAAGCATGACTCTTATCAGAGAGGCTCTAAGGTGGACATGAGGAGAAAGACATTCTGTATCTGCTTTACATTTTTGTTTTGTTGTTGTTGTTTATTTTTTGAGACCGTCTCAACTCTGTCGCCCATGCTGGAGTACAGAGGTGCGATCTCAGTTCACTGCAGCCTCTGCCTCCCAAGTTCAGGTGATTCTCATGCTTCAGCCACCCAAGTAGCTGGGATTACAGGTGTGTGCTGCCACCACGCCCAGCTAATATTTGTATTTGTAGTAGAAACTGGGTTTTGCCATGTTGACCATGCTGATCTTGAACTATTGGCCTCAAGTGATCTGCCTGTGTCAGCCTCCCAAAGTGCTGGGATTACAGGCTTGAGCCACCACACCTGGCATGGTGCTCTGTTTTTTACTATAGTCTTGGCTGTACTCATACTTGGAAATACAATTCAAGGAGAGAATAGTGAATTTTTAAAAAAATAATGCCTTCACAATTCAGAAGAATGTATACTTTTTATAGCAAGAAGAATAGACTGAGTGGCAACCCTCAAGTCCTCAATGACTACTGTCCTCACTTTTTAAGTCATTGAATTTTCTTCTTTGAGCCTTGTTGTCTTTACCTAGCAATAGCATGTATAGGATTAGAATCATGTTCTTTTTAAGACTGGATGGGAGCATAGTGATGTCTTTTTTTGTTTGTTTGTTTTAAACAACAGAATCTCACTCTGTTGCCCTGGTTGCAGTGCAGTGGCACGATCTCAGCTTACTGCAAACTCCACCTCCTGGGTTCAAGCAATTCTCCTGCCTTAGCAGTCTCCCAAGTAGCTAGGATTATAGGTGTGCGCCACCACACCCAGCTAATTTTTGTATTTTTAGTAGAGACAGGGTTTCACCATGTTAGCCAGGCTAGTCTCAAACTCCTGACCTCAAGTGATCTGCCCACCTCAGCCTCCCAAAGTGCTGGGATTACAGGCGCGAGCCACTGCATCTGGGTATAGTGCTGTCTTCTAATTAACGTATTTTACGATTGAGAAAGGTGGAAGACCTGGCTCATAGTCCTAAGACCTAGTTACTGACAGATCTGCATTCTGAAGTCTTGATCTAGAAAGCTCCAATTATTCCTGCTGAACTTTCATTTTAAAATTTACCAATTTTATGATTGCTTTCTTTTTCTCATTGAAACATGTTTTTCTCAAACTAAATTTTATAATGTGTATCTCCTGGAAAAGAAAATTATTTTCCATTCAAAATGAGAAAATAACAAAATAATAGGAATCCTTATGCTGTGATTTCTAGTTGGGGACCTTGTTGTACATTTTTCCGCAATAGAGACGTCAGTACAGGATTGAAGCTGTGTGTGTCTTTGTACGTGTTCAGGTACACTCATGCCGTCTCAGGCACACACACAAAGAAAGTTGGGGAAGAAAGCACTAGCCAACTTAGAGTTGAGTAGAATCAGAAAAAGTTTTCTATTAGAAAATATACCTCTTCTTTGTCAGCCCTGGTACCTGAAACAAACTGTAATCGTACCTGTGGGTTAAAACAAATGAGGAAAATGTTGAGGCACAGATGTTAATTTGAAGAAAATATTACAAGCATTGTTTTTCCTATATCTTCCATTTTTCTTGTCATTTCCAGTGACGACTCCTTTTTTCAGTTCTCTTTCATTTTATATGTTCTCATGATGCAGGATCTTACGTTTCACTCTTGCCATGTAGTTCTGCTTCTCTTTATACTTAAGCTAATTTAAAAGTACCCAATTCTTGCTGTCTCCTTTTTCTTCATCTTCATTCTGATACATTTTCCTAATAAGGTCGCCAGTGACTTCCTGGTTAAAACATTTAATAGGTGTTTCTCAAGCCCCATCTTAATTGTGTGAGGGTTGGTGTCAGTTATTCTCCTCAAAATTCTCTATAAGTAGCACCAGGCTTTCTTGGTTTCCTTTCTACATTTCGGGCTTTTGTTTTATTAGCTCTTCTTACTCTACCTTTATCTATTAAATGTACTCTTGAAAGGTTTCAGTCCACTTGTTTTCTTTCTTTTTTTTGTTTCTTTTTATTTTTTGGAGATAGGGTCTCACTCTGTCATCCAGGCTGGAGTGCAGTGGCACAATCAGCTCACTGAAGCTTCAAACTCCTGGGCTCAAGCAATTCTCCCACCTCAGCCTCCGGAGTAGCTGAGACTACAGGTGTGCACGACCAAGCATTTTAAATTTTTAAAATTTTTTTGTAGAAACTGATCTAAAACTCCTGGCCTCAAGCAGTCTTCCTGCTTCAGCCTCCCAGAGTTCTGAAATTACAGGTGTGAGCCACTGGGCTCAGCCAGTCCACTTATTTTCTTACTCTGTACACTCGGAGTGGTTTCATTCAGGTTTTTCTGTATATTGCCTGATCTTCCAAATCTAGACTGAATCTGTCTAACTTTGTATATCATTGTATATTTTATATCTGTCTGTATCTCTTAGCTATCTGCTTAATCCCTAGGGCCCACTGATTGATTAAAGGGGAAATCTACAGGTATCTCCCATTCAACATGTGCAGAAGTGAATTCATCATCTCTCCTCCTTCCTCCAAACTTGATCCCCATCTTATCTCCTAGCTTACTCTGCCAGTGATCAGTCACTATAGCATTATTGACACTGCAGTATCACACCACAACCTAGTGTTTTAATGCATTTCTCCTTCCTCCTCCTCTGCTTCTCATATTCTCTAGTAAAATGCATGTGTCTGAGAGTTATCCAAGAATTAGAAACCAAAAGGGAAAAAAATGGAAGGAATTTAAGACATTAAAAGGGAGAACATACACTATAGCATCTGCATAATTTTAGATATTGGTATTCTTCATATAGTTCATCACTATCTTGGTAAGAGTATGTAAAGAAGCATCTTGATTATGAGGTTATTGTAGATTCCTTGGCATAAATATTTGGTAGACATGGGAAAGGAAAATGAAACATTTGTCAGTTAAGTTCTTATGACTCAGTTTAGTTCATTTCCAGTATGAAAATCATTCTTTTAATGTAATGACCATTTTGCCTATAGCAGACCTTGAGATTAAATACATTTATTAAAACATGAATGGTTTTCCTAAGAAAATATGACACAAATCTCTTTTACAACTTTTTTTTTTTTTGAGACAGAATCTCGCTGCATTGCTCAGGCTGAAGTGCCGTGGCACATTCTCAGCTCACTACGACCTCCGCCTCCCAGGTTCAAGTGTTTCTTTTGCCTCAGCCCCCCAAGTAGCTGGGACTAGGGACCTGCCACCATGCCTAGCTAAATTTTTTTATATTTTTAGTAGAGACAAAGCTTTACTATGTTGGCCAGGCTGGTCTTGAACTCCTGCCCTCGTGATCCCCCCACCTTGGCCTCCCAAAGTGCAGGGATTACAGGTATGAGCCACCGCACCCAGACCTCTTTTACAACTTTTTGACTTTTTGATTTACATCATAGACATATGGTTTGTTTCTTTTTATTGCTGATCTTCACTATATTGAAGATCAGAAATATTGATCTTCACTATATTGAAGAGCAATATATTGCTGATCTGAAATATATTGAAGAGGGAATATTTAACAGTAGTTTATATCTTGTTAATATTTACCTTTTTCATATTGTTTTCTAATTTAAAATAAATTTGGTTGTAGTTTTTAAATTTAATTTGTCTTGATTTCAGAATCCTTTTCTATTTATATGAAGGTAGGCTTAGTACAGTTGCCAAAAACTGCAGCATTTGTAAATGCTGTACATTTGATAGAAGTTGCCCTAAAGACAATTAAAAGGTAACACTCATGTAAGTTGGTAGCTTCATTTAACTATTTTTCTTCAAGTATACAGAATTTGCATAATGCTATGCTTTATTCATTCTGTCTGCAGAGGTTCTAATGGAAAGAATGTATCAAAGAATCTATAGTGCATAGAGAAAAGATAACAGCTAATGATTTCTTAACATGACGAACATAGTCCAAACTAATCTTTTTTTCTCCCCTAAAAATAAGGACCAAAACTTACCATTTTTTGTGAAGCTTGTAAAAGTGGGTAGAGGCCTATAACAAAACTCTTATTTTGATACCACCAAATTTATCTGTAGTTCAATGTGGATTAAATTATAAGAAGTAGAAATGTTTTCTTGGCTTTCAACTCATCATCCCTTGAAAAATTATCTCTTCTGTTGGTTTGCATTCAAGGTAAAAATTAGTCAGCTTGGACAATATAGTGAAAAATTCTTAGAATAAGGATATAATTTGTCTAGAGAAGAAGAGTTTGGCAAATCTCAAGGAAAAAATTGTTTTATAAGAGAATTATTGCTTTTAAATCTGAAAATCATTAACAACACTTACTTGTTCTTGTCATTGGAGAACAATCTTAAGGGGCTTGTTGAAGAATTTGGCATCAGAAGTTTTATTTTGCTGATGAGAGAAAACTAGAACATTGTGAAAAAAATAATTTAGTTACATGAAACATGATATTCATGTGCATTTTCTAAGCCCCATTTCTACTTTATGTACTACAAAGATGCAGTAATTCAACCAAGAAAGCACATTTTGGCCAGGCATGGTGGTTCACGCCTGTAATCCCAGCACTTTAGGAGGCTGAGGTGGACAGATCACCTGAGGTCAGGAGTTCGAGACCAGCCTGGCCAACATGGCAAAACCAGGTCTCTACTAAAAAATTCCAAAAAATCAGCCAGGCATGCTAGTGCATGCCTGTAGTCCCAGCTACTCAGAAAGCTGAGACAGGAGAATTGCATGAACCCAGTAGTAGAGGCTGCAGTGAGCCAAGATTGCACCATGGCACTCCAGCTTGGGTGACAGAGCAAGACTCTGTCTCAAAAACAAAAAAAGTATATTTTTTGAACTATGGAAATCAGTAAATTGTTGCAGTCGTATATACTGCTTCCTATTAAGTAGAAGCAGAATGTTATTGAAAAGTTTTTGCAAAATCTGTAGCCCTCTGTAGAATATGAGTATACTGTTTTGATGGATCTAGATGGGACTCCTTTTTCCTATTGGAGAGAGACTTTTCCTTCTCCTTCCCCATTTAATTTTTAATTTAATATGTCAGGGTTTCATAATAGAACTTTTTTGTTAGAAGAGAAATGCTGTTCTTATAACTCTCTATAAATTAGTGTTCTTTGCCTATTGCTTTCTGAAACATACCCTGATTTTGATATTGTCATTAATCTGTCTCCTCCTCAACAGAGTGTAAGCCTCTGTTTGTCTTGGCTTAAGGCTTTTTATCCTTATAGCATAGTATCTAAAACAAAAGTAGTCATATAATAAATGTTTCTTGATTCAACTAATTAATTATCCTTTTCTGGCTCTTCTCATTATTTCAGTAATTTCTATTCAATTTCTATTTAAACAATAAATGTATTTGTGTGGCATATTTGCATGGATCAACTCCTCCCCATCCCCCAATTTTTTGGTTTTGTTTTGTTTTTGGCCCCTCAGCCGGCACCTAGTATTTGCTTAGTACTGTGTGCTTGGTACTAAATATGTAGCAGGAGATTACAATGGGCTTTGTCCCTGCCTTTATAGAACTTAATATCTCTGTAATAAAGGTCCAGGATATCATTACCTCATGAATAATCTCTCCTCTCTCCTATATTCTGGAAGAGATGCATATCATTGCCTTGTGCCTTGCATTGTTAGTGGTGTCCTTATCATAGTTAATGACATTTTTAAAGCATATCTAAAATGATAAGAATCTTACAGATTGGTTTTCAGTAGTTTTTTGCATATATTGAATTGTTAAATACTCAGTAAATACAGTTATTTAGTTTAAGAAATGTCTAACTCATGTAAAAAATATTTTCAAAAATTATTAATAGTTTTTAACTCATATTTCTATTGAGATAATTTCAACAAAGTCCATTTGCTGCTCTGTAAGAATTAAAAGGAGGTTTTTCCTCCCTTTTGATAGAATTTTTCTTAAATATATAAGGCTCTGACAGTGTTCTCAAAAATGCCTAATGATCAAAAAATGTTATTGGCTTTTAATATTTTAAGTTTCATTCCATTTTCCTTTTTTTTGGTTTGATTTATCAATAATATAGATTATGGATTACCCTACTCTATTATATGTTGTTATATATTATATACTAAAACAGCAGTAAAGTGTCTTCACTCATTTTCTTTTGGATTCTGAGAATGAGCTCTGACCAAATGGCAGCTAGTCCCTTTCCTTTAGCCAGAATTACATCCCATTTTCCATTACCTCATTTATAACTTTTTTTAACCTTCATTCTTTTATATATTTAAAATTCCTCTAAGTTCTTTATTGATATGTTTTCTGAAGTTTACTTTAGAGCAAAGACTTCTGAAATAAAAGAGCTGGGGGTGAGGCTGTGTTAATTTCATCCCCATGTTCATAGTGTTTTCTTTAAGTGCCTTTTCTTTCCAAAACAATAAGAATAGCAGCTATACAGATCTGCATGCTAATTGTAAACAGAATCAGATTCCCCTAACAGCAGTTTTGCCAGTGGTGTTTTCAACTGTGAATATTCATTGATTTGATTTGTAATTTTTTGAGAAAGCTTTAGCAGAAAAATAATTTCAGTAACATTTATACAACAGTTAGGCCTATATGCCTGACACTGTACTTTATATAGGTTATCTAGTACGTAACAGCAGTTTTATAAGGTAAGTGATGTTATTTGTATTTTACAGGTGAAGAAACTGAGACAAGGAAGATTAAGTTGACGTGCTATAAAGATATGCATTTCATTCACAGCTTAAAGAAAGCATTATGGATTACATTAAAATTTTGAGTATCTGTGTTTAGGTTAAAATTTTGAGTTTATTCGTCAGTCTTTCCTATAATTATGTACAGAATTATAACTTGATAACAACCCCACTGATAAAACTAAAAAGTGGCCAGGCACAGTGGCTCACACATGTAATCCCAGCACTTTGGGAGGCCGAGTCAGGTAGATTACCTGAGGTCAGGAGTTCAAAACTAGCCTGGCCAACATGGTAAAACCCCATAGCTACTGAAAATACAAAAATTAGTTGGGCATAGTGGCACATGCCTGTAATCCCAGCTACTGGGGAGGCTGAAGCAGGAGAATTGCTTGAACCGGGGGCCAGAGGTTACAGTGAGCCAAGATTGTGCCACTGCACTCCAGCCTGGGCAACAAAAGCAAAATTCCATCTCAAAAAAAAAAGAAAACTGAAAAGTGACTGGTTTAATATGGCCTTTTTTGCAGGGCGAGGTCATAGCATTGTAAGTGTAATCATTTTTTTTTTCTTACTTGGTTATCTTTTACAGACACTAGAATAAAAGACTAAATACTTGTTAGGGTATAATAATCTTTAACTTACTACAAAGATTAATTTAAATATATGTAAACCATATTGCTTTAGTACAGATTTTTAAGTAATTTAAAATGTTTTCATGATTGCAGAAGATTTATTCTGCTTGTTATGTTACTAGTGGGAGTCCTAAGCAATATAATGCTAAGAAAATAGCACTCTCATATCATGACTCAGAGTTAAGTAAACATTAGAAAGAAAATTGATCTTTATACTACCAGGCATGAAGCCCAGAGATAAGTATATTTGTAGGTGTCTTCTAAATTTCAAATTGCTGCCTAATTTTGGCATTTTCTAAAATCTCAAATTTTTAAAATCTACCTCAGAGAGGCCAAATGTTCTAGGCATTGATGGCCTCCCATTAGTATAGAATAGAGTCTAAATCTGTTGTAGGATAAAATTCATCAACTTACTAACCGTAACAGCATAAAGAACCTTTCTTGATTGGACACAGTGGCTCACACCTGTAATCCCAGTGCTTATAGAGGCCAACGTGGAAGAATCACTTGAGTCGAGGAGTTTGAGACGAGCCTAGGCAACATAATGAGACCCCATCTACAAAAAAAATACAAAAATTAGCTGGGCATGGCGGCATGCACCTGTAGACCCAGCTACTCAGGCGGATAACAGTTATATGCCCAGTTCCTTCCAGGAATCTTGTAAGAGAGTCTTTGGTTCTGGAGTAGGTGGAGAGGGACTAAAAATCCAGTTTAAGATGACCACAGGTAAAACAAAGAGTAACGTCACTATAAGGTTTGAATATTTTGTTTAATTTGTCTCACCAGAAGTTTTATGTTGAGATGTGGCAGATGAAAAACATTAGTCATGTCGACGGACTTGAGTTGTCCAAATGATTGTCTTCACATTAAACCATTCGCATTCATAGTTTGCCTCACACATTTCTAGATTTTCTTTTTGCTTAAGCAAAAGTTTCATAAGCTATCTTTAAAATTTTAACTTCGCCAATGAATTAAGGGAAGGTTACCTCTAAGCAGTGAATATATTTCTCGAAGGAAATTGCTCCAGAAGGTCTCTAGTAAAGTTGTTGACTGCAAAGATAAGTTAAAGACACTGCGAAACCCAGCATTACTCACACATACTGTACAATGGAATTAGCAGTTTGGACTAGCTACGCCCCTATGGGTTCTGCTCTGTAGCTGTTGAATCCTCAGTATTGGGAAAACAGCCAACAGTTCCTTGAATTTGTTTTAGTCCCACCTGTTCTAAGTATGCACTAATGCTTGTAAAGCTGTCCAGACTTTCTGATTTGAATTGCAGACATATTGGGTTTTTTTCCCCTTTGTAAGATCAGTAAATTAGAAAAAAAAAAAGGTAATAATAAATAAATTTATAATTGTAATTTAGATCTGTAGCACACTAAATATTCTGTGTTTTTGTAATACCAATATTTTGTTGATTTTAGAACTACATAAAATGCATTTCTGGAGATTTTGGTGTTCAGCATATCATACAAAAATAACATTGAGAAATTCATTCATAGATTTGTCTTTATAAGTTGGCCATTTAAATGATGCATGCATTATTTTTGGGGTTTTTTTGTTTTTAAAAATGATAGGTACTTAATACTATGGGTCGTGTTGTTTTGGGAAAATGAACATAAGACATTGTTAAGAATTCAGATTTAATCATTACATGCAAAAGGCACAGATTCAATTTGAAATAGCTTTTATTCAATGGAAGAAGTATTTTCTCTTGGCAAAACTAGAGGTTTCTCTCTAATTTTCTGTCTATATTTTTATAAATAAAATGCATCACTTGGCTGAAATTTTAAAAAAATTTTACTAGAAGTTAGAACAATCTTAGATTTTAAATAAATTGTTAAGTATCTTGAACATGTTATTTAGTTGTGATTTAAAATATAGCTAAGATTTGTTTTACATTGTGGCAAATATTTACAGTTTAGAAAACAAACTAGTCAACATAATTTTTAAAATAACTAGTATATGGATACACATAATTCTCTGCAGCAGTTGGTGGCAGATGAAACTACATTTATAGGTCCCCCTTTTATAGTTACAGTAAAATTCATTTGAAAAACTTTATATGTAGAAATAAATTGTGCAAAGTAATATACAGGTAACATTTACATTTTTAAGAACTGGAAAGTACAAAGTTTGTCATTTAAATTGGTGACTGTCTCTCTTCAGTCAATAGGCTTGATCATCATCTGAACTGCTCTCAACGAGTATGACCCTCCTCTGTATTCAGCCCAGAAAATTCCATCTTGGTGCTTGCTTCTGTAATGGCCGCCTCTGTACCATACTCCATTTAGGTTAGAATGTGCACAGGCATTGTACCACCAGCCTCCTTTATGAAAGTGAGCACAGTTTCCTTTGAGGAAAAAATATAGATACAAACATAAGTTTATTCTAGGTATGGTACTCTGCAATCATCAAAAACTTATTCTGCCTTTAATTTGAACTTCTCTTACTGATCCCAGTTACTTCTATCTTAGCAGTTTTAAATGTCTACATTTATTCTATTGCTGCTGTTGCATCAGCTACTTGAAAGATCACTTATATTGCCTTTTTTTTAAATCTTGCTCTTTTTTTGCTTAATATGTGCCTTTTTAAAAAGGGGGATTTAATTTCCTAGGTAGCAGAGAAGATGCAAGCAGTGTTTATATGTGAAAGAGTTACAGAGGGAGAAATTGGGAAGGAAAGATACAGAAGAAGATAAAGTCTGAGAAAAATTGAATTCTCAAAATAAAATAGCAAAAAATAATACAAAGTAAAATAAAACCAGCAGCCAAATGGGTTTCTGTAAATAAGACATATGTTATGGTCATATCTCTCTACTCTTTTCTCTTCGTTTACCAGTGTTAAATTGGTTAAAACAGAGCTTCTTGCCAAAATACAGCTGGAGAGAAAAACAAATCAATTTAGGGCAGGAATGGGGGAGGATGATGGGAGGGAATCTCTTTATCAAGATCAGAAACCTGGGTTAAAAAATGAAAAGCATATGAAAACTAAATTTAAAATTATATGAATGGTCTAATTGTGTCTTTCTAATGAAAATACTAATTTCCCCTCTGAATCAAGCTTTTTTGTTATTCCTGTACCACATGTCACAATCATCTTGTTTTTCCTCCTCAAAGAAATGCTCTTACACCATGTATCCAAATGGCTTGCATCCTTCACTCCTTGTGAGTCTTTATTCAAATGTTGCTTTCTCACAATAGCTTTTCCTGGCAAACCTGTATAAAATAGCACCCATCCTAGGCCTTGCTGCCCGCCACTTTCTATTTTCTTGCTTGGTTTTATTTTTGAGAGTACTTATTGCCACCTGACAGATCGTTTTGTCTTCTCCAGTGAATAAGCTCCAAAGGGCAGGAACTTGGTTCACTCTTGTATCCACAGTACCTACAACAGTGCCTGACGCGTAGTAGGTGTTCAGTTAGTATTGGTTATGAATTTTAGGCACTTGCACTTTTTTTCCAGGCAAATGTGTTCCTGTTTTTTTCCCAGAAATTTGTTTTTCACATAGATCACACTTTGGGATTGCCTTATAGAAGAGATCCCAAAAGCTCTTTCTTTGAGTAGGTTATATTTCCTCTCAGGGTGACCAAAATTGACCTTTTCAAAATAGCATATATAAATAGATTCTATTTAATACAGAGAAGGTGATGATTCTACAAAGAATGAAATTTTTTTTCGTACGTACCTGCATACATATCTTTATCTCTGTCCAGTGTGGTGAATTGTTTACCATTATGCCACATCATAGAATCCCCTGCATTTCCCTGGTAAGTTCCCAGGCGCAGTCTATAGAATTCATTTTCAGGTTCTAGACGAAAGCTGCTGTATTCTGCATAGACTTTTTTATCACTCCAGTCTTCTAATTCAATCAATAACTTGTAATTATCTTGATTGCTGAGCATATAGATATTTTCCAGTCCAAGCCAATATTCTCCACCAATGTTTCCAAACCCTTTCTATTAATAAATGAAGAAACATGAGTGCATAAATAAATATAGAGATAGTAAACTTTTTTTTCTTTTTTTTGAGACCGAGTCTTGCTGTGTCACTAAGGCTGGAGTGCAGTGGTGCGATCTCGGCTCACTGCAATCTCTGCCTCCTGGGTTCAAGTGATACTCCTGCCTCAGCCTCCCGAATAGCTGGGACTACAGGCTCATGCCATCACACCCAACTACATTTTGTATTTTTTTTTTTTTTTTTTTTTTAGTAAAGATAGGGTTTTCATGTTGGTCAGTCTGGTCTGGAACTCCTGACCTCATGATCTGCCTGCCTTGGCCTCCCAAAGTGTTGGAATTCCAGGTGTGAGCCACCATGCCCAGCCTAGAGATAGTAAACATTTTTATAGGTAAGTGTTAAACATTTGATAGTGTAAAGATATTGGCCATTTATGTGGCAAGGTAAGCTTCCATTTTAGTTCATCACTTGAGTTTTATAAGCCACACATTGTCATTCTGTTTTACGGTTTTTTGTTTGTTTTGCTTTCTTCTAATATGTCAGTATTTATTTGCATAGCTAGCTTCAAATCCTACAAATAAGATAAAGACAAGTGAGAATAAAATTTTTCCATAGCTACTGAAAATATTAGTATACTACTCAAATCCTTAAAAACGGTTTCTGGTATTCATCTAAAGAGCCCAACATTTTTTTCCTAATAGTAATCTTTGTAAAGTAGTAAGATAAGTCATCCAGACTGAAAGGGATCATTTTAAAGTATATCTTCTGTTTTCTTTTTACATTTTAATTTTGACTTTAAAACCAGAGGTGAGAATCATTTTTTTCCACAGGTATAGATAATGAAAAAACATATGAATAGTTATTTTTAACTCTGTATCTTATTTATTGCATAGAATCTTATTTATTGCATCATTGCAAGAGTGGGTTTATTTCACCTCCCTTAGGTTTGCATCACTGATTTACCTTATAATTTTCCCAATTTCTGAAGAAGTTGACAGAGCCGTCTGTTCTTTTCTGAATAACAGTCCAACCTCCAGGATCCAAACTGTTTTCACACCATAGCTGCATTGGTCCATTGCTGTTTTCAGGTTTAATCATATAAATCCCACTGACCGAATGCCCAGCTTCTTTTGCTTGCTGACAGTCTTTGAATGGTCCTATAATTTAAGTATCATTATTATCAGCAAACTTACTATGAGAAGAGACATATTAAAAGTTTTTAATCAAGTTATTTACAGATACTACTTTCTATCATATACGTAATATTATATAAACTAAATAAAAGCATGGCTCCAGTCCTGTTACTGGAACATTAGTTTCATTTTCAACTGTTCTGTTCTTTGTCCATGTATGTATATGTTTATGTTGTTATATAATCCTAATACATGTAGAAAATTGGATTCTGTCTTAACATTTTCATGCACGTATAATCTCCATTCTAGCACTTACAGTAGCTGCATAATAGTCCTTGACATTGATATATGTTTATTCCTCTATCATTGGATGTTGAGTTTTTATGATTTTTGCTGTTATGAAAACACTGCACAAAGTGTCTTCAGTGTTATTGAATTCATTTTTTAATACTATAAAAGTGCTGAGGGATCTATCTACTGGATCAGGGGGTATCAACTCTTTTATAGCCCTACATAGTACCCAATTTACGGTTTTGGAAATTTGCTTTCATTGGAACATGCTAGTACCTTGAGTATTTGTACTCATTGAAAATGGGGTACCAGTCAAATAAGTTTTAGAAATGCAAAATACTATGTTTCCCATTTGGAAATTCACAATATACATTCACATATTAAAGACTGAGAAGCCCTGAAATAAACCAGAGATACCCAAACTCATAGAATCTTAAATTTCCCCCAGTAACACTTAATAACAGCCCGTCAGGAATATTAGCATAAATGCCTATCTAAAGAGTTGTATCAATCTGTATACCTGATAATAATTTTCTCATTTAATCTACAGTTACCTGGTGATGGTTTATAGGTATTCTAGAGATAGGACAATTAACTAAGGTCATGTATCTTAGAAGACGGTAAATCCTAGACATAAATCCCTGTCTAATCCCAGAGTCCCTGCTCCGAACTGCTGTGTTGCATGCATTTGCCCTCATTTTATTTCATAATTTTAGGTATTCTCTATTTTTAATCCACTAATAAGTTCTTCAGATTTTACAAATGACAACACATTCTGTGAAATTACTTTTAGGATGTCTGACTCTTGAACTTGCGATTTCCCTATTTTTGGATCTAGTTAATATTCTTCCGTTTCATCCTCCTCCAGTCTTTCAAGCCTTTTTTAATAAACATGCAAAATATATTAAGGGATTTAGAAAAAAGAGTTACCCTAAAGATCTCTTAGAACAAAAAATGTATAAAAATTCTGATTGCCAAATTTTATATTTTACTAGAAATTTTAAAATTCTGACTTGCATAATTTTTAGAAATTATGTGAGAGTTAAGTAAAGTTCTTAAAAGATTTTCTGTACTATAAGGATAATAGGATTGTTGAAATTTTGAGAAATGTGCTATCTATACTTTGCCAGATATGTACAGTATTCCTTTTGGGCCTTATTAGGATAGAATTGATCTCATTAGATAATTGTGCAACTATAACAATAGAAGGGGTTCTTAGAGACTATGAGCTCTTACTTGTAGATTGTTCCCTAGGACAGACAATTTTTTTTTTTTTTTGGCTTCATGTCATCAATGTTTAAACCCTTAGGAGACTGTCGATAATTTTTTGTTAGTTAAATTTCTCATTTTAAATACAAAGAAATTGAAACTAAACACAAAAATCAAGAGAACATCAGTTTCTGTAGTCCAGATGTTTATTATATTGCATTGATATTTTTTCTCTCAAATTTTTAAAAATTACAATGCAATGTTTATAAATAGTATGAACTACTAGTAAAATTTTGAGAAACTTAAATACTTGTGGTGTCTTTCTTGGATTATGTTTATTTTAGGTATTGTACTTTTTAGTTCTAGAGTTTCAATTTGATTCTTTTCTATAGTTTTTATTTCTCTTTTGAGATGCCCTCTCTTTATATTCATTATAAATATATTTTGCTTTAAGACATTGAAAATAGCTATAACCACTACTTTAAAATTTTTGTCCTCTCAGTTCCAAGTTTGATGAGAGTTTTTATCATGAATGGATTTTGGATTTTTTGAAAGGCTTTTAAAATTATCTTTCTTTTTAAATTTTTTTCTAACTAGACATATCACAGGAATCAAAGGCTTTTAGTCTGCCTACTGAGATGATGATAGGGTTTTTCATTTTGCTGTTGTTTGTTAACACATGAATTACATTTAAAAATGTGTGTGTGTGTGTGTGTGTGTGTGTGTGTGGTTTTGGATTTTGAGCCCGTTGCCCATGCTAGAGTGCAGTGGTGTAATTGTCATAGCTCACCACAGCCTCAAAATCCTGCACTCAAGTGATCCTCCCACCTCAGCTTCCCAAGTAGCTAGGACTACAGGCAAATGCCACCATGCCTGGCTAATTTTTTTTGGGGGGGAGGGGGGAAGAGATGGGGTCTTGGTATGTTGCCCAGGCTGGTCTTGAACTCCTGGTCTCAGTAATCCTCTGACCTTAGCCTCCCAAAGTGTTGGTATTACAGGTATGAGCCACTCCACCAGCCTTTACATTGATTATATTTTGAATGTTAAACTAACCTTGTGTTCCTGGGATAGGCGTGACTTGGTGAAAGTATTCAGAGGCCTTAACACAATACCTAACAAAGTAGTCATCATCGGTAACTGTTAGTTCCCTCATTTCTGCCTTATTCCTCATCTCAACCTATAATGGTAGCTTATGTCATAATTTAGTAGAATATTTAATATTTGCTTATTTAATAAATTTAATATAGCTCATCAAAGATGAATGTATAGTCATTTCTACTGCAGAGAAATATTACTGAAAAACCTCATGCTCTGCAAATTCATGCATTAAAAATAATAGCTAATTTTAGCTGTTAACATAATTTGTATTTAGCTGCAGTTACCTGTGGCATAAAACGTTAATATGCTTCGAAAAAAATCTCATGTAAACCAGTATAACCTCTTTGTTTTGCTAACACTGTTTTCCTTTTTCACCAGTCACGTATGGGCTACTTCACATTACAGAAACATGCATTGTAGTCAAGTGGGAAGAAGGATAAAGAACTTATATTTCAGAAAAGATGAAATTTACAGAATTTTTATTTCCTATGTGGGAGTGAGATGGAAGGAAAAGTGAATTATGACTGCAGGCTCAAACTTAGATTATTTTGTGTAATTCAGGTAGTATATTTGTTTACTTACAGTATTCATAGGCAAGGACTTTATCTTTCAGTGTGTATCCACAGTTTAGCACACTTAGGAATCCAGATATGTAGCTATAAACCTACATGTTTGCTAGCAGTAATGGTTTCCAGAATTCCCTTATTCTTTTCCCTTATTCATGCATTGTTCTTTCAAGAAATGTCTTTCCTGTATCTACTATAGGCTAAGGACTGTTTTAAGCTCATGTTGGGGGTGGGAGAAGTGGCAAGAGAGAGAGAATTCCACTATAATATACTTTGATGGAGTTATATAGGGCACATGGTAGCAAAGCCTAAGAACTAGCTAACCGAGATCTCTGAGGAGCATTGCTCTTATTTTAAAACCTATTTGTATTATAGTTCATGCACACATGAAAGTGGTTTTGTTATAACATACAAATACCTCATTTTGTAAATTTGCATAGTCCGTTATCTTTGTATTGGTTATTCTATGAATTTTTTTTGGTAAATGTTTACATTCATTTGAGTATAGTTTTGACAGTTTACATTTAAGTATATAGTCAAAGGATGGACCTTTATTAGGTTATTTGCTTTGCTGCAGAATATTTAGAAACATCAGTGTTTTGAATGTTGACAGATTATTTGTCAAGTATCATTTACTGCATAGAGTTATACTCATTTTCTGCTATTTAGTAGACACTCAGATGATTAAAACGAAATGGAGAGTTCTGGGTTTTCTGAATCCAGCTTTGATTTGATAAGACTTCAATTATGCAAATTTAAGATTATCTTCAGCTTTAATTTTCAACCCATTTTTTGCATTGGGCTTTCTGTTTATTGTTGGATGTCTGTTAGACTTAGGAAAATGTAATTGAAGTTCTTTTTCAGAACATATGGATAAAATCTAGCAGTATTTACAGCTACTTTTTTCTCCTCAGTAAAGATATTAAATATCAGAATTCAATATTTGTTTGTATTTATTTTTATAAACATACCATTAACCTGTCCTAGTCCACTGTATATTGTTGATCCTGGCAGAAATATTTTCTCATTATTACTTGCAAACCTTATTTACTTTCTGCCCTAAAATTAGATTATCTCTTGTCCCTATCTTAAATGTTTTCACTGCTTTTTCTGTAACATAAACAACATTGCTTGATAGAAATTGTTAAATGACAAATAGAAAATTTTAAGCTTTGTTCTTGAGAAGTCAAATTTAATTTACAGGTTTATGTAATTTCAGAAATAAATTGATTGACATGTAAATCAGGAATTTGTTCACGATGATTCAAGTAGTATAGACTAGAATTACCTTTCTTTTAAAATAGGCATAGTATCCACTTTTTTTTGCAAGAGTCTTTTCAAAGCAGGAAGCTGGAATTCTGTTCTTTGAATCTGAAGAACCAGTCTCTCTGTTCCTCAGTTTATGTGAGGATTAAAGTTTATACAGGGCTAGTGAAATCATATTAATACCTCTGATTCATAGAAAGAAAAATGTTGACGAGTCATGCCAGATTATCTCCCAAGATGTATTTTTTATTAAGAACCCATATTTTGAATAGAATAGTGAGTTTAAAAAGAAAAAAGGATTTCATCCTTTGAATAGCAGCTTTACTGGGAGCCATCTATAACATATGTGTTCTTTTTCTATAAAAAGAACTTTTTAATTATAAAATTACAAAGAAAATCCTTTTTGTGATATGAAACAGCCAATTCAGAGTTTTCAAATAATTGATTAGCAAGTAGAATATTTTGAGAGGTAAACTTTTCTGTTGGGTTGTGCATTAACTTCCAGATTCAACATTTCTGGAGTGGGAAGTTTGAGACAAATACTTTCTAAAGTGACAGTAGAATCTTTCTTGTAATAATATGAATTGCCCAATA